TGGAGCTGAAACTAGTGGGGAAAATGAACAATAAACAAAATAAGTAAACGATATAGTTAGGTGGTGCCACAGAGAAAAATAGAGAAGGGAGATGAGGATCTCCCTGCAAAGGCAATATATGAACAAAGGCTTGAAGGACGTGAGGGAACCATGTAGGGTATGAGAGAAAAGCTTGCCTAGCAGCAGGAAGAGCCAGTGCAAGGGCCCTGAGACAGACACATACCGAGTGTCTGTGGAGCACTGAGGAGGCCCATGTGCCTGGAGCAGAGAGGAGAAGTCACAGGTAATGGGAATAGATTGTGTAGCTATTGGCCACAGTAAGGACTTTGGCTTTCACTCAGGGTAAGATGGAGCCATGAGAAGGTTCTCAGCAGAGGGATGGATCTGCTTGGGTGATTAACAGTATTCCTCTGGCCCTGTCCAACCCTCTTCCCTACCCAAGATGGAAACCAATCTTGACAAGAAACAGACATTTGGTAATTTGTGTGGCAAATGTCTATGAGCAATAAATAAGCAGAAGGCTCTTCACCCACTTCCTCCAACCCATCAAGGTCTCATGCTGGCCAGCAGGACTTTGCAAGATTGATTAGCAATCCACATCACATTACAGACACCAGACCCTCCTCCACTGGCCACTGGGAGAATCCCCAAAGCTGATGGGAAGCAGTCTAAGGCCACATGCCAGGAAAGCACCATCTTGGTGGTTAGCTAGAGTCAAAATCAAATTCCAACTCTGCCTCTTAGCAGCTGTGTGAACTATGATTCATTACTAGACTTTTCTGGGTCCCAAGCTTCCTTATCAGTAAAGTGGGAGGGTGTGGGGGATAGTAATTTCCACCCTTGATAAGCCTGTTGGGGGAGTTAAATTAGGTAACAGGGATCAAGTGACTGGCAAAGTGCTGGGCGCAGAGAGAGCCTAAAGATGTTAGCAAAGGTGTTATTATAACTGAAATACCAAAGAAATAATAGCGACATTTTCAACGTCTCAAGTCTGAGGATGTCCCTTGGGCAAACTGGACTCTGATATTAAGCATGGGGCTGAAGTGAAGGGTCCTCTAGAGGAGAAAGGCCTTCAGAATGTAAGTTTCTTTCCCCCTCTACCTATTCTCCATGGAATAACTGCCCAGGACAGCTTTATCCATGCCAGAGAAAGGAGATGGCCCACAGACGTCTGGAGGAATTAGCATCAAATGTACATGTTATGGACACGTGTCTCAGCCCATCACAGGCACAAGCCCCTAGAGAAGAGACCCCAGCCTGTATCCATCTCTCTCAAGGAAATGTGAGAAAAGGGAGAGTTTTAACAGCATAAAAGGCACTCTGGGGAAATTTCTTGTCTCTTCCCCCTTGGGAATAGCACTAGGTCCTTCAGTTTGCTCCATGCACGGAAGGCAAGGCCTCTGGGGGACTTGGGTCCACAACTGGAAAATGGGGATTATAATAATATTAAGGCTTGTTCACACTCATTCAGCACATACTTATTAAGCAACTTCTATGGCTCTAATGCTGATATAGGAAGAAATGAAACAAATTCTCACCCTCACTGCTCACATGCTAAGGAGGAAGGCACCAAAAGCAAACATACAACATTAGAGAATGACAAGTGCTACAAAAGTAATAATAATAATAATAATAATAATGCAGGGAACAGAAAGAAAGGGCCATTTCATTTTATTATTATTATTTTTTAAAAATATGAAACGCTTCACGAATTTGTGTGTCATTCTTGCACAGGGCCATGCTAATCTTCTCTGTGTTGTTCCAATTTTAGTATATGTGCTGCCAAAGCGAGCACAGAAAGGGCCATTTTAGACAGGGTGCTTAGGAAGACTTCTTTGAGGTGGTGTCTCTGCCATGCAAGCAGAGACCTGAATAATGTAGTAAAATTATATATAAACACATACATATCCAATATAATAAAAGCCTAATATGCAAAT